GTACATATTTGTACATATGTTATGGATGTAAAGACCGAATGAAAGCCCTGGACTCTTATGCGGAATATCATTAGGCGCAATAAGTCAAAGTCCTCTTCAGTGGGCAAGGATTTACCTAGTAGTAGAGGTTAAGCATTTTCTTTACATGCAGTTCAAATAGCTCATAATTGCGAGTGTGTTCCCATATCTAGTATGGGCAAAACACGTGATTTTCTACGTGACACGCCGTGTCACGCTTTTTCACGTAACTTCCGTGATCATGCGTGACTGAAATTTTCGCTGGCGTGAGCGTGCGTGAGTTAGATTTTCCGTCAATCACGTAATTTTCACATATCGAGCCCTCACCGCCAAAAAGATGTAGGCGAAATTTTTTTCAAAATTTACTTTTTGAGAGCATCTAGATGTATGGGTAAGGCTTCCTCAAGTGGGCCCCGAATTTACCAAGATTAATATTTTTCAATGATATTCAGCGCCGAGTTTTGTAGTCGAAAAGTACACTGTGTAAATTTTGTTAGAAAATTCCAAATAGTTTTTTTTTGAACAACAGTTGTAAATTTTTGCAGTGTTTTGGAAATTTTAATTTTTCTCTGAAAGTAAGTGTCCGAATGAAACAATTTTTTTGGGTGTAGATTTAAAAAACATTAAACTATACAATGAAATTATTTGCGATACAAAAATATTTTTTGTTTTTTCGCTTTTCAATATTTTTTTATGAAATATTGAACATTTAAGCAATTTCTGCGCCTCGTGGAGGAAAATTTTCAACAACTGCTTATGTAATAAACATTTTTGCATTTATCTATGAATAAAAATGCGTGCATTTCGCTATAGTTTGGTCGGAATGAATTTTTATTGGCAGCGTGCGGGCCCGGGTGGCAATTTCTAAACTGGTGAGTATCATTGGTCGACATTCTGTTTAGTCACCGTAAAGCAAGGACCGCAATGTTCTGATGGTTGATTTAACGGGAGTAATTTGACTTTGATCTCTGGTGCCTCCGAATCGACGACTTTTAGCAATAACTCGGCTCCAGCACCACTCAAATTATCATCAAAATCGCTTCGGTCGTTAAGGAGGAGTTAAGCCACCAGAATAAGCCTTTTACATACTGACACTCTTCGGCATTTTTCCCATACAAAAAAACTATCACGCATTCGTTATACGGAGAAAATGCGCAACATCATCAGCGAAAAAAATTCTCAAAAATCAACGGTAACTTATTGCCATTTAAAACGTGCACTTTATGATACTGAAATTGAGTAAACAACAAAACTGCATACTAAAAATCGGTCGTCTTCGTCTCGCTTTTCATACATTACGTTGCAATGGTCTCGGTTGCGTTCAAACCGGCTAAAATGATGCCGCCGGACTAATTTTTTAAGCATTCCTCTGCAGACGAATCGTTCGAGTACAGAATAAGGCTCTTAGTGTAGGTAACACCGATTTTGATGCGGCAAATGTTGAAGCTGTTTTTGATAGACTTTTTTGTGCTGATTACGAATTCGTAAGCAAATCGGCCCGACCGTTCTCAACTGATGAACTACTACACATTTTTCACCCCATTTATATATATATAGATAGATAGTTCATTATTTAACAAAACCCGTGTAAATCCAAGTTTCCAAAATGTGCAATATTAAAAAAAAATGCAACAAACTTTCGTACAAATTTCGAGCTTTTTTAAAAAAGCTTGTTTTTAGCCATTTGAAACTTGTACTTTTTTCTACTAGAATTCAAAGGGCTACAAAACTGCATACTCGAAATCAGGGACCGAAAATAATGATTATTTAAAAAATTTTAATGAAAAAAATCAAAAGGTTCAAAATATCGTAGAACAATTTCGAGTATATAAATGTACATGATTTTTCATGCTCTGTATGAATCTCTTACGATTTCAAAATGTTTGAGCGATATCTATAAAAATTATAACTAAGAATTACATTTCGATTTTAAATTAATCGCTCAAAAAAAAAACAAACCATACTTCGAGTTATATTTTTTGATCATTTTCGAGTTTTCTTTTTGATCAAAAAATAATTATTATATTATGAGTTTTATATTTTTGATCAAAAATAATCATTATTTTTTTAATTTTAGAAGAAAACAACTCACAAAATAATTGTTACTGCAGAGCAAAAAAATAACGCTCGAAAAATGAGTTTTATGTTTGATCAAAAAAATAAAACTCAATAAACGAGCAATACAATAAAACTCAAAATGTTATTATTATGATTGATCGCAAGTATTAAAATCTCAAAATAATGATTAAAAGTTAATTTTTTTGATAAAATGCATAATGATTCCATACTCTGCTCAAATCTAATTAAAAAGCTCTAAAATGTTTACGAAAATTTGTTGAATTTGTTTTTAATTTAATAAACTTTTAAGGTGACACTGGATTGGTACCAAGTAATTTTGGGTAGAGCTTTTTTCATCCAAAATCAAGTTATCTTAAACAAACTAAGATGGTAGGCGACTGACAGGCGTTTGCCTAACAGATCAAAAATGGAGGTTTGTGCAACTGCATGTAATCTGAATATAATTAAAAAAAATGGAAGTATACATACACACATATGTACATATGTACACAGAATAAATAAGTTTGAAAATATTTCCTGCCGGTGTTAGTTAAATACTATTAAGAGAGGTTTGATTGCAGTAGAACAGAGTAAAGAATAAAGTAAAATATTAGCAATGTGGAAAATAAAATCAACCAATTTTACTTGTTTCAACAACTGAAATGCCAACAGAAATTGTCAGTGAAAATAACGATGAAAATAATAATGGCAATAATAATAAATCATAACAATTAAATTAAAATAATAATAAAAAATCATAATCATAATTATTATAATAATATAAAATGTTGCACATCAAATGACCTGATAATTCACTCGATGTAATGGCCGGTATTTGGTGGTGCTGATTTGTTTGTTGCGAAAGGTGTGCTTGGTGAGCCTTCTTCTTCTTACCCGTTGTGTTTGAGGGCGCCTTAAGTGCAGGCTCTTCCGGTTTATCTTCCGGATGGAACACCACTGTCCAACGATCCAAGCGTATCTCTTCAGCTTCGATAACATCACGCAGCAAATTTAAAGGATCTTCACCACCCGTATACCCAGAACCCCAACAAAGGACTCGCGCCAAATCGTTACCTATTTACATATACAAAGGCATTTGTTTATATTTAGCAACTAATTTTTCGCTAATAATAACTTATATTTCTCTTACCAGTACCCAACGGCACTATGGCACAAGGTGGACTTGAACATTCTGAATCCTGCCCTACATTGTCCAAGCATTGCAATACCCAGCCGATAGTACCATCGCCGCCACATACCAATATCTTGTAGTTGGCAATTTGACGGAAAACGTAGAGACTAATAGAGAACGTATATAATTCTTTAAAAATCGCACGAAACAATATATTTCTCGCTTACCCCGGCAGTGGTCCACCATTATCCAAGTCAAATACTTGGTATGGATTTAGCAGTTTTCTGAAGCTCGATATAAGTTCTAATCCTTGACAACCGCCCGATTTCACATTAACAAATACAAGTAGTGGTCGTACATCCGACGGCACCATGCTTGGCTCAATGTTTGGCAATAACATAACCAAAAGCTTCTTATCCTCTATAATAGTTTCACGTAAATTATAGAAGGCTCGAACCTAATGAAAATATAGTACAAATTAACACCTACAAATCGACGTTTAAAGTACGAAACCGCGTATAGTCGTTCTATAAAACCGCGTAACTGACTTATTTTGCCAAAAATTTGGGTTTGCTCACACAAGCCTTATCCATTCGTCCTGAAATATACTAGCCAGAAATGCGATTGCTTTATAAAAAGAAAACAATTTTGAAATATGCGTGTATTTACTCTCTAGAAAATAATTTATGCAACCTCACATACGCGGTTTTGTACTTTAAACGACGATATGTACTATGTATAATTTTCCAATGTTAAACGATGATACATTGTATAAACACATTTAATAACTAACGGTGGCAGTGGGAATGCTAATGCGCCCCTCCTAAAAGCTCAGTGGGTTACTATGCAGAAACCGCTAGTGTGGCACTCTTAAAAAATTTAAAACATTTAGTTCTGCACTTACCGCCTTTTGTGCATCTTCGAACGATAAAACCACTGAACCGTATTCGTAGTAAATAGGACCAATGCTGGTAAATTTGTTTTCATCGGTGACATACTTGTTTAAAATTTGTTCGTAGTTGCGTTGTGATAATCCCGGTGGTAAATTTCCAACAAACAACGCGATATTTGGTCCGTGTGGATCCTGCTTATGTTGCATATAAAAACGCATCAATTCCATTTGTCTGATGGAATCCTTGCCCAATTGTTTCATAATATCCCATGGGCGTTCATTCCACGATAGTATGCGCTCAGTGACACCACGATCTAGCAATACCTCGGAACATCTATGCAAATAATACACATAAAACAGAGTATAAATATATGCATGTACGTACATGCATACAGATTAAAGGCCTGCAAATGTTGAACTATAGCGACATGTGTGAAATCATGCCAGTGCCAGTTCATGCCACGTCCCTCATATGTACGGTGACCATATTAACCAACGTAAAATAAAGGACATATTTTCAAAATGATTTGGAAAAACGTACATCAATTTGTATGATACAAGTACCTCAAGCATATTTAGATCAAATATTTACCAGTTAAATAATTATATTATTTAATTGCACAAGTTCCACTTCTCGAAAGGCACTGTAGCCGGATTCTAACCGATTCCGAAAAATGAAACCAAATTCTCATAAAGGACTTCGCCATCCTTTGCTGCCAAAATGCCTTTATCATTATTCATACTTCACGACAAAGCCAGCGGGGGTTTATTGTTCTTTTCAGTGGAACTGGAAACTCAGCGTGCTTTCGTGAACAATGAATTTTACTCAAAGTATATTAATTTTTTTATGAAAATGTCTAAATATTTATAATTTTTTTTTTAATTATCTAAATTTCCCCCAGCAGTATTAGCAATGATTCGTGATTTATAGATTGTACAAAGATTACCGATTAAATAAAACCCTTAAGTGGGGTGCGAAAGAAACTAGCGAAGGTTTTCATTATATTTTATAAGGGACATTTTTATATTGTCATAACCTCTACAAAATCCACAGCTCATTTAAAGGACAATTTAAGAAATAAAGGACAAATGGCCTTCTCTATTTTGACAAAAATTATAACGGACAAGCGGTTAGAATAAAGGACTGCCCTTTAAAATAAAGGACGGATGGTCACCGTACTCATATGTATATGTTTGACAATGACATATGAAGACACTTTCGAATAAATTGAAATCAAATGATGCATCAAATCTATGCATGCCAACACAAACGAGACATACGACATATTCAGCATTATTAATTACATTGTATATATGTACATATGCATGTACGTGAAATCTCTTCGCAAGCTCCTATTATAGTACAATTCATTAAGCAATTGTCTAATTAAAAATCTATATATCGTCGATGTTTTTGCAAAACCTCCCATAGACCAACTGCAAAACCATCTACCTTACGGCACTGAAATTTTACCGGAGAGAAAAAAAACGGTTTATTCTTTGAAGGCATTGCCTTAATAGGCGGTATTTTCTTTAGCTATTATTTTACAAATCTGTTGTTTTAATAACGATTTAACGATTTTTATGCATAAATCTCGATGCCTGGAGTTCAGGGTTACCAAATCTCACTTTTTCCACAACGGCGATTTAGGCGGTTTTGCAAAAGCATCGACGATATATTTTCTTGGAAGGTAGGACCAATCGAACTGTATTAAAAATATGCTACAGAAACACAACAGCGAATAACGGCCTAGCTATGTAGCAATGACATATGGCTGGTTTCTCCAACTCAACTTAACTTAGTTAAGTCAATTTTCTTGACTTAGCCAAGAATAAGCTATGTAAAACGTAGGATAACTTTTAACTTAAGTCCAAAAAGTGACTAAACTAAGTTAAGTTGAGTTGGAGAAACCAGCCCATAGTATAAACAATTTGTCTGAGTTGACATGACAGCAATGCATCAAATTTCGAAAATGACATTTTTACAGAAATTTTTGAATTTTGCAATACTTTGATGTATGTATATCGTCACCTGAAATGCAAAAAGACGTAACAACAACGTATATGAAATGGAAAAAGTCGTGACAAATATTTTCATATTTTTTTGGTCATAAAATGATGTGGGGAGTTGTAATTCGATGAACTCCATCATATAAATCAAAAAGTGAATTTTTATTTTTTATTAGTTATGACCTTGTGCATTTCAACGATGCTTTTTGCTATTCAGGTGACGATATCTAGATCTGCCGTAATAACCATGTGTATCTCCTGCGGACTTTACCTGTAATCTTGAATTTGGTTATCTTGTAAACCAAATCTATCAAGCGCGTCTCGAATCAAATCCTTAATAATAGTTGTATTTTCAACAGGAACATTGACGTATGGCTCTTCCAGTGAGCATTGCAGTTTGCCCGGGTAAACACGAACGTATCCCTTATCTTTATCATGAAACCTTATATATATAGCTGGTCTCTTGCCTTCCAAATGCGTCAAGCTCATGACGGGCGTTGGATCTTGCAAAGGAGCGTCCTCTTTGCCTGACGGGGCATATAAGTCGGTCATGTAAAATGCCTTCAAAAAAAAAACAATAATAATAAATAAAAATAATAATGCATTATCTTTTTCTTGTTTATTTGTCGTCGAAACTGTTTGAAATCGGGGAAAACAACCTTGCTTATTATATACGTATGTAGAAAGCTGAAAAAACGACCCAGCCAGCAAGCAACATACGTTATGTTTTGTGGACCATGCGTTTTTCGTACATTTTTCTATCCGTAAAACAACAGAAATTCATCGGTTATTGAAAATTCGGCATTGTAAAGTATTTTATACTTTTCTTAAAAGAAAGCTTCAGCAACCGCGTTTTAAGGATTGAGGATTGTCTTCGAGGGAATTGAAAATTAAATCAGAAAAAATAGCAAAAACAATCTGAACATTTTCAAGAAAAAAACCGTCCTGTGTCTTTACTGAACATTGAAAAATATGGTAAGTATATAAATGCTAGATATTATATGTATATGAATTAGTTTTTAAAATGAATTAATTTTTCTTAACTTACAGATAGTTACCGTGGTATCCTTTCGTTCGCGTTTTTCCTTTGGAAAATTCAACACTCACTAACTTTAAGGACCTTGTAGGTACACATTTGACAGTACCCTTAAATTTTGGTAGGTCTGTATACTAAGCTGTTATATTCTTATGACTTCTGTTAAATTTATATGTTACCAGCGTTTTTTCTTTTATAGAGACTCGCGAAGAAAGGCGGAGGATTTAGAATAAATTAACAGAAAATTAAATGAAACTAAGCAAAAAATTAAACAATAATGTAAATGTCCTATATTTACAACCACACAATGAGATCACTAATTATTTTCCACGTTTCAGCTCATTCATAATGCACTGTCTGCCTGCTTGCGGTTTGTCCCCGATATTTTAAAATTGTAAATAAAAAACGGTATGTACATTTGGCCAGGCCCAATTACATTACAGAAAAATTGCGAATCGCTGAAGATGGCTAGTAAATTGTAGAGCCTTTTCAATTTCTTCAAATCTAAAACGCTTCCACGCGCGCTTCTTGTGTGATTATATTCCATTTTAAATTTTATCAGCATTTCAAAAATTTAATAGACGCGAGTAGACCCCCTCAACATTGAAAACATTTAATACGTATGTACATACCTATGTGATGATGAGTTAGGCAGGGCGTATGAGTGATGACTTCCACGTTTGCTGGCTGGGGATATTTAATACGTCCGCCGTGTACATAGTTCGGTAAGGCCCGAACATATACATACATATGTAGGGATAAAACGATACCATGGAAGTATCGATACATGTACTTGGAAGTAGCATCGAAACAAAGTATCGATACCTACTAAATATCGGGCTAAAAGTATCGATACCTACTTATATCGATATTTGTAACTATAAGAATTGGTTGTATAAAAAAACGCTATCACATATCTATGAATTTTTGTCAAAATAACTTATGCGATAATTATTTTTGATTTTAGGCGTATTTTTAAGAAAACCTTTAAGTTTTAAAACATGTTTTACTAGGATGGCCTCCCAAAATACAAGTGCAAAGTCCAATAAGTTCTTTTTAAAAAAGTTCACAGAATTTTGTTAACATAATATTCATCTTTTTTAAGTACGAAAGCGATCATGAAATCAAAAATAATTATTTTATAATTTATTTCATACAAATTAACTATTTACTAAAAGTTATCTCTATTACAACACTGTTCACCAGCAGTTATGCAAAGTAACTTTGGTATATTTCTGAAAGAAGTAATCATGTTGACAGTTTTTGGAGGACAAATTTATAGTGTAGTGTAGGCATTCATATCGCTAGCTTACAGTGAAAAATTGCTAAGTCCATTTGAAGAAAATTACAAGATTTAGAATTTTTTCAGAGTTTTCCGATTTTTCTGTGCCTCTCTTGGACTTAGCAAATTTGGCTTTAATTGAATACAAACGGTTAGAAATAAAACAAGCACGTTAGTTAATCCTTTTGGAGACGTTGCGCTTTTAATTCACCTTGCTTCTTATATCCAAATATGAGTTTTCACAAAAAGTGGACTTAGCAACTTTTCACAGCTAGAGATATGTTATAGAGATGAAAATAGGTTTTTCTTTGTAGGACTTTTTTTCATTGGCAACTAAGCTGCCAAAATTTTTTAACTATTAACAATAAAAATTAGATTTGAAAATAAAATCGTCACTGAATCGGGTTTTGATACAAGTACTTTCTTCCGATACCTACTCAGTACTCGGTTCGCAAGTATCGATGCCAAAATAACTTGGTATCGGACGAAAAGTATCGAGTATGTATTTGTATTTTTACTAGTATCGCTTTGTCCCTATACATATGTACTTCTTTATTTGTTTTAAATACTTTTTGATTGCGAATACTTCGACTAAATATGTCGGATCTAATGCTATGCAGAACTTACGCTTGGATCCCGTGTTATGTGGAATGCACGCAATGCTGTAGTTAACAGTTGTTCCAGGGTATATGTACGCGGCACACTAATTACCCGATATAGTTGACGTCTGAATGAATTGTTACCATCAAAAACTTTGACCATTTCTGAAAATTAATGAATTACATACATACAAATGTATGTAACAAAGTATATATTAGATTTTTTGCATCTACATGCTTATATATGTACATATTAGGGCCGGGATTACCTGTATATTCGGATATCCGGATGGAAAAATTGTTATTTTGTGATATCCCGTCCAGATTTTTTAATCAGATATTCGAATATTCGAATTATCCTGATTTCCAAAAAATCCGAATAGAATGCCCAGTCCTAGTATGTATGTACATTAGAGTGGTAAAAAAGTGAGGTCCGAATTTTAATGCTCTCACCCCCTCGGATTGTTCTATGTCGAAAAATTATACCCCTATTTTTATTTTGAAATCAACAATTATTTAGAGATCACTTAAAACGCTCAAAGTTTTCCATGTATTTTATATGTGGAATAACCACTTTTCGTAGAAATGGTATGGAATTCTAGAAAATGAAAATTATTCGATGGGGAAAACTCTGGTTCTCTTCAGGAGACTTCCAATAATGATTCCCAATTGTTTATTTAAAATTTTTTTAAAACTAGCGATATTTGCTTGGTGCCCCCACTGCATTTTTTTTCGGCGGACCTATAAATTATAGTTACTAAGAAAAAATTGTAAAATATACAATTGGATATTATTATAGGGAATCTCCTGCAGAGAAGCAGAGTTGCCCGTTCGAAACTGATTACTGATTTTTCCGAAAAGTTGTTTTCCCCATATTCAATACATGGAATAATTTGACCTAGTGACCTCTAAAAACTTTTTTATTAAAAAACAAATATCGGGGTAGAACAATTCTAAGGAGTGAGAGCATAAAAATTCCGACTTGAATTTTTCTCATGCATTTTTGGACTACCCTAATGTACATACATAAGTATTTTCAATTCATGCTTACCAATATCCTTCTCTTCACTTTCTTTCTCCTTTTTGGTTTTATCCTTATCTGACTTTTCCGATTTATGTGAAGTAGATTCGGGCCGATAGTGCGATGATGTGCCACTTCCGCCACTGACGGCACTAGCGTGCATTGCGTCAGTTTTGTTAACCGATTCTTCATCTTTGAAGCGTGGCGTATCGCCGCTACTGAACTCCTCTGATATACTTCGCGCTAGGCAGTTATGGGAGTGTAAGTATTTGAATTAAAATCAAATTGGCTTCTTAAAAAAAACATTACAAAACAATTAAACCCTATTCAAATGGATTTAGTGAATACAGTACAGTTGTTACTTGCGTAAGTCCAATACAAAATAAAGACATACATATTCTTAAATATACATATATATTTTTTAATATTGTTAGTAGATATATATTAAAACATATTAGAGTATCAAATGTCTTTAAATGAAAAGAAAAAGTTGTGTCATTTTATTAATTTATGTACGTTAAGCTGGAGTCAGTCATTTTGCCTCGGAGGGATAAGTTTATGTAATCCCAGTGTTTCAAAGCGTATGCTCTTACAAGGAGAAACACTCAGTTATATATATTTTGGTTACTCAATAAACTCAAGCCGATGGCCAGAAACTCCTCCTACAAAGCTTAGTTAGTATTTTACTAGAGTTAGTTTTTAAAATGGTATATAGATTAGTAATATCTATGTTTAACAAATAATTGATAACGATAACAATGTGTGATGTGAATGCATATGAGCGTATGTATGTATGCAAGTAGATGATTATTTTATAAAATAATAAAAAGAATAACAGCAAAGGTGCAGGAAAGAGTGTAAATTAAAATATTTGTGCTAATATGTAAATAGATACATATGCATGTATGCATGTATGCAAGATACTCACAAAAAAAAAAAAACTAGAAAAAACCAAAGACGAAAGTTGAGAAATAACATAAGAAAGACATCGTTGAAAGCGCTGCACGTAAATACGAACCGATGTATACATCATCTAATGCACAATTTACATATTACGTCAGTTCCCTGTATTATAAAATACTAAAACACATTTATTTTTTACACCATCCAATCAGTTGGCTTCGAAATAGTTTATATGTATGCCTATGTACATATGTACCCTGCAGGAAATGGATCTAACTATGAGCTAACTTTAAGTTGATTCGGAAGGAGCTAAAAGTCACTTATTATCTGTATATTTTCTTTTCTTTCTAACTATATTTGTATGGCGATGACCGCGAAATAGTCAAGGGTGGTTACCTCTGCATTTGATGTAACTAACTTGTAACTAGCTACTTTTGGACATAAAATATCAATAGGAAAAACAAAATATTTTTTTATATTTTTTTATTTTTATTTACTTTAATTATTTTATTACATTTCATATTTGTTTACATGTTCTCCTGTAGGTGGTCCCATATTCGAACTCCGTCAGACATAACTTCAAAATGATAATATGAAATTTCGATCTCCCTTTTATTTGTACTCAATTCGAAAAGTATTTGCGAAGTGCAGGATATTTAAATAGAAACGCATTTAAAGAAAACAATCTCGAGCTTTACTCCTGCATTACTTGTCTACCACAAGTTATATATTTAATAGAAATCCCGCATAAAAGCTAACTACAAGTAGGTTATTTTTTTTACAATTAATAATTTTTTTCTGCAGGGTATGTACATAAACATATACATACACAATGTGGTTCAGAAAAGAGTAGCCAAATACTCACATAATTTTTACTGCCGTTTTTTTAAATACGCATACGCATGCATTTGTTTACAATTTCTGCACAATGCTAGCTTAATGTTGTTGGCATACCTAACACTTGTTTCTAGCAGTTTTACGGAACCTACATACATAGGTAAATATGAATGTATAAAGGAGTTTTCAATAATGACTCGACAACTTTTAGTTTCGTCTGAAGTTAGACTTCTTTAATTGTGTTTACTATACTTTTTATATGTATTAAAATATTACAATTAAAGTTGTGAGAGAATTTGGTTGCTTTTGATCTGTACATACAAGCCTGAATGTTTGTATGCAGTGTTGGCAAAATGTTAATCTGATTAAGGTTCAAAAATTAACGATTAAAATGTTAATCGCGATTGACGATTAAAATTAATTAATCATAATCAACTGTGCGATGAATTATTAAGTTTTTATCATCGTTAGTCGCTGGCTGCGACTACGATTGATAAATTTTAATCATTAGTCTCTAATTCAATTAAAAAGAAAATCTGATTAAGTTGTCTAGTTTGTCCGAATTTGAAACCAAACACCAGTTATCGAAATTATTTTGTGTTTTACGCTTATAAAAAGCACATAATATAAAAAAATTATAATTATTGTTATTAGTAATACATAAACTGGGAACATTCACAGCCAAGCGCACATGTGCATCTTAATGAAAATGCACACCAGATTGCTTAGACTGATGAGGAAACTCGACTTAACCTAATTAACTGGCTTTGTGAGCACAGGAAAATTCCAGCATAAATTAATCACCAAACCTACCTAATCAAATTAAGGGTTAAGGGTTAAAAATTAGTATTTTTAATCGCGGTTACGATTCACTATTTAATCAGATAAAAAAAAAATCATGATTAACTGTAATCGGATTGAATTTAATCGAATTAACTAGTTGATTAGAAAATCAATCGATTAGTGCCAACGCTGTTTATATGTACTACATTGTATGTATGAATGTTTTGTATCTAAATAAATTAGAAAATATAATACGTAAGTCATGCTTGTGCAGCGCTTTCGGTTTTGTTAATAATTAGAAGGTTTAATTAAAATAAAAACGCAAACAATAAGAATTAACACTGCATACAAATACATATAAAGGAAAATACAAGATAACCACAGTATTGATAAAAATAAAATCGTCGCTTAGAATTTTAAGGATTTGACGAAAATATGGCTTTTGAAAAGAACTGAAAACATAAATCACCTCTGCGCTTGTAGTAGCGGTGCTTTCGCCACCCTAGCGACAAGCACTGCATGCGTCGCAACAATCGCCCGAAGACGTGCTCTTCGTTGTCACTATTGCGCGAACGACTGCGACTGCTGCCGCCATCACTAATGTCACCACCTGCGGCGTCGTCGCTAGCACCACTAAATGGCCTATCGTCCAAATATCGATGAAAAGTCGTTGGGCTGCTTGCCCCACTACTGTGCACCATGTGAAGCTGTGGTTGTGTTTCCACATGTCCCACAAAATCATCGTCGAACTCCTCTTCATATTCATCATCGTCATCGGTGCAGACTCGACGCCTTAGACCGCTGCGTACATCTTTCAGTGTGAAATAGTCATCATCATATGCCTGATAGTTACCATCCTCATCCTGAATTGTGATCTCTATACTTTGCCTCCCTCTATCTAAGCTATATGCACTTTTTGAAGTTTTACTGATGGTGGAAGCAGGTTCGCTGGGACGTTTTTTTGAACGGCGACGAAAAAGCCGCGCGTACTTCTTTTTGCGCGCTGTGGTTCCTTGGTAAGCATATTGCTTAACACCCGGTTCTTGGAAAGACTTACTGCGTCCTACGGCAGAAGATTGCACTTTCAATGGATCCGCCGGTGTGGGCGAATGTGAAGAGCAATCGCTGGAATTAGGCGAGCAGCTGATAGAGCCGCCCTTAGCTGGAATACCCTTGAATGGGTTGAGGTTGTGTGTTTTTGCTTTCAATAAAGCACCAGTCTTAGAGAATTTTTCGTGTACGTTACCTCGACCACTTTTTTGAGTAGACGGTGCATGCCTAACCAATGTTTCGGTGGCGATAATTGGTGGCGTTTCGTGGGCACTTACTGCTAATGGCACGTTTTGAGCATTTTTGTGTTTATCACATAATCTATAACGATTCTCTATCGATGTGTTACTATTACTACTGTTAAAGCTTAAATTACTTATAAGATTCATACTGGAGTCAATGTCAAAATCGTCAGTAGTCGTTACTTCGCCGCCTGTATCAGAAGTTTCATAGAAACAGTCACGGTGTGGTTCTTTGCCTGGCTTCGCTCCAGTTTCTGAACTACCGCCAGTTATGCCAGTAACAGTAACTTCTTTACCGACTAATCGATCACCAGCTTTGCGAAACGTGCTTTCTGCTGAGTTAATCTCAAAATTATCATATTCGTCGCTGATTTCGCCGCCACTCACATCACATACACCCCCATCCTCTTCCTCGTCCTCCGTATTTGAAGAAAGGTGCTTGCGCGATATTGGCCGTGTACGCCGCAGGAAGTTGGTATAATATATTTGGCTCGATGTTGTCGCGCTGCCCATTTGTATAGCACTGTCCTCATTGAAATCGTGGCATAGAGAAGTGTCCACATGCTTGCACTGTTCATCGTCATCTTCGTGTTCTGAACTTCGAACTGAATGCGAAACGTGTGATAATTGCGGATAAAGTGTTGATAAGGGTGAAGGCGATGTTGGTGTGGCAACCGGTGATAACGATGAGGGAGTAATGGACCGAGGGGAAGATGAAAGTAGAAAATTTTGTTTTGATTTCTCTCGCCGTTGTCTTTCAATAAATAAAATCTCTTTTAAACTTAATTCAGGAGTATTATTTGCATCTTTAATTTCTTTTCTTTCAGTGCATTCAATTGCGATCATGCTGTTTGCGGATGAGCTGATTGCAAGGCAATCTATTGTTCTCAGATCAGCTAGAGTTTTAACACGATTTTAGAAATCAAGTGGAAAAAGGAAATAAAATCAAAATAAGGGAAACAAAACGTGTAAATAAGAATAATAAAAAATAAAGCTATTTCGTCCGATTGAAAAAAAAAACCCCGGCAGAAACACATTTCAATGTCTGTATGTATGTACATACATATTTATGTTTTTAGATAGGCACCTGTAGTACTGGGACAGTATGTCGCATAAATACATCCTGGACATAATTAGAGCATTGTATGTATGTATGCACATTTATTCTTTTTTATATGGATATTTAATTACACACGTGAATTCTTTAATTACATAAAGCCAAAAAGTTCATTAGAGTCTCCAGTATTTAAGACAAGGAATTTTTATTTATACATCTTTACTACATAAAATGTTATATTAAATAGTTATTTTATTTCGAAGACTGCGATCTAAAGTCTACAAGCCAATGCAGCAAACCGACATAAAAATGAGATTAAGCTTCTAGTATGAAGATATGTAACTAAAATTTGTGGCAATACATACTTACATATGCATATTTACTTACTCGCATTTGAAATTTATTTGGGAATTATTATTTTTGTCAAATTCTGCATTACAGTAGCTTAGAAGTGGGAGTGCTTAACTAATCTTTTTCGTTTGTATTAACCATTGATTTAATTGATAGTATTATTTGCATATATATACATACATATGTACATGCATATTTAAAGAAAATAAAATTAAATATGTAGTTCCTGAGCTCTTGTAATGAATGAGAAAGGGAATGGCACACTGGGTACATGAAGCATGTAAAGCGAAAAACTTTGTATTAGTATAGTCATATTAGACGAATTTTTTGATGGTGGTTAATCTTTTTTTGAATACTGTCAGCAAAGATGATACGTAACCATTTTTCTAATATACGGGGAGACACATTTTAAGACCCCAACTACACGATGCGCAAACGTTACTACCCCTACCACGGTGTTTAGCCGCTTGGGCCGCTGTTCCGCTGAGAATATTGAGATTTCCAACCGAGTTTCGACCGTATGACAGGAAATTTTGTTGAAAGACTTGAAGATGTTCCCTTACAAAGTGCACGAAATGCATCAGCTGTTAGCCGACCACGAGAAAGACAAGCCTCAGCCTTGTCAACCTCGATAACCTATCACAACAAGTTCTGGCAAGAGTGATGGAAAATGTCATGAGTTGGGCCAGTCGGGTTATCAATTCAGAAGGTGGCCACTTGAACGACATCGATTTTTGCGCCACCAAGCGGCTTAAAGTTGTTAGTCGGACATTAAGTTTTTTTCATAGGACCTTCTAAGCTCTAACCTTCGACTGCATCTTTTCGACACGGTGTTGGAAGAATAACATAGAGGGATAAAAAGATCTAAAAAATAAAAAAAATCTTCTGCAGATTAATGAGGTAAGCGTAAATACCAAAATGAGGAAACAATTTTGAGCATAGTGTGGTTGGGGACATAAAATGGCTCTTTCGCTGTGTGAAAAAATGCTTACCAAACCTACGTATTTTCGACGTGGCCTTAAGGCATCCACACACCTATGCGATTCTGTTGCTACGAATCCGCACCGTTTTTGATGTTTTGATTTTAGCGCAGCAAAAACTTATAGACAAACAAAAAATATTTTTCAACAAAAATAAAATTATTAACTTTTCTACATCAAATATGTTTTGTTTTCTTACACTCAATTTTGTTTTAATATCGTAAAATCCTTCTATTGACTTTTTTCGTTCTCAAAATGCGGCAGTCTGCGATTCCGGCACGACGAAAAGAAGAATTGTGAAAGTTCGCTGCAGCAAAATCGTACAAGTGTGAGGTTCCTCATTTAAGACTATGGTCGGCAATGTTGTAATTTTTGTCGGAACAGATTCGCACCGACAGAATCGCGTAGGTGTGTGGATACCTTTATAGTATTCAAAAAGAATTGAACATCGCGCAAAAAAGCAACAAGTACAATTTTATTTTCTCACTTTTTTGATTTTGTTTATATGTATGTAAGTTGAACTATTTAAGTATGTATGTATGTATGTAAGTATTATTTCAATGAAATGGATGGAAGTTATCGTTTTTGGAATGAGAAGAGTTGTGATTTTATAACTTAAAGTATGAAGTGTCGTTCAGAATTTTTGTATAATTTATTTATTTATAGTAAGTATACCATATACTACTCTTTTTATTTAAATAGAAAATCATCCTAAAAATCAATGCATATTTTAGCGGCCAAATGGTAGATATCTTTATAACTAAAGTCAAATGATTTATATATTTTTGTTGAGGTTCAAATTAAGTTGCATCTGTTGGATTAGATCTGCTTGTTTTTATGCAGGTTAAGTCCGCTTTCAACAACAACAATAAAATACACAAATTTTTCTCTCGATTTTTAATTAAACATTCAACAGCAATTTATGTAAGTATTTCAGTACAACATTAATTAACACTGTATGGCAAAATCAACTTTTTTTCGAGTATTGGGCCGAACCAATTTTTTTTTTAAGAGATTGAGTCATAGGTAAGACAGTGATTTCTCCGTGTTTCGAAGTTGGCCTCCGAAATCGAGATATGAGCCTTCGAAGTTCGAAATAGGACCTTTGGTAAAAAATTATATTTAATTATTGCATGTAAATAACTAAAAACCTAAAAATATATAGACGTAATTTTCCTTTTCCTCTTACGTTACAGGTGCTATAAGGGATCAAAGTTCAGGTCTTCGAAAAATTAAATTCCTTATAGTGCAAACAATTTTGAACTGATTTTTTTTTTTAATTTATAACTTTATAAAGGTGATCAAACCCCCTTTCTTCCGATATGCATATTTGTATACTTCGTATATAAAAACACATTTAAATGAAAAAATACATTTTTTTTATAAAAATGTTGTAAACAAAAAAATTACTAACAGTTTTTTAAAAAATAAAGACGATTAAACCCGCTTTCTTTTGATATGCATATTTGTATACTTCGTATATAACATTTAAAAAAAAACACATTTAAAGGAAAAAAATATCTTTTTTTATAAAGAAATATTTTAGACAAAAAAATATTAACCGAATTTTAAAAAATTGGTATCGCTGTAAAGGCGATTAAACCCCTTTCTTCTGAAATGCATATTTGTATACCATATCTCGATTTCGGAGGCTAACTTCGAAAAAAAGAGAAATTACTTTTTTTACTTATGAATCAGTCTCCTAAAAAAAGTTGGTTTGGTCCAATACTCAGCCGAGTGCTGTACAGTGTAGTTATTCACTTATAGCGATGAGTCAAAACTTTGAGTTGTAGATACAATTTTATGGTTTGAAAGAAAATTCCCACAATGACATCTGACAAAACAAATTACATATCTCGTATTCGGATAGTTCCCAATCATTATTCTAACTGGTAACCAATCATAAGTGTAGTTTAAGACGGCATTGAAAAAAAATTGGGAATTGTACATTTTTCTGTGCGTTTGACTGAACTTCTCCTACATTTTCGATGGCTGAGTGGAAGATCGACCTATCTCGGCAGTAAGTTCGAACACGCTCTATCTCCGAAAACTTTTCAAGAACGCCCTACTTCAGGATTTGGTTGAAGAGCGCCCTATCTCAGCTGTCGATTCGATAACACCCTGTCTCAAATGAAAATGCATTGAAAATGTGCTGAGATAGCATAATTCAATAATAAAAGGTTTGCTCTGGGTTTGCTCAGAAAACGGTTTTCTCGCTCCCTCTTGGCAAAATCGGCCACCTTAGCAAGGCATTGTGTGTGATTCGTGTGTGTGTGCAAAGCTTTCGTACGGGAGTGTCAAAACTCGAATGTCAATAGTGAGCAAACCTTTAATTATTGAATCATGCTGAGATTGGGCGTTTTTGAATCGGCAGCTGAGATAGAGCTGAGATAAAAACCTTAATATAAAATATTATTTACATTTTATTGAGCCAATTTGAATCCTTCCCTATATGTAAGTTTGTTTACAAAAAGTCTACAGTAACGTTTTAAATTTTGTTGGCTATTAACAAAATCAGAACAAAAAATGGTATTGCGATGATTCGAGTTATGAAATAAAAGGAAAAACTAATGGCAAAAATTAATTTATGCTCATTTTACAGTACCATTTCAACTTATGTTATTTTAATGTTAAATCTTTCAATTGCTACGGAAAAGCTCAAGTTTTGAAATGCCGCAAAAAGACGCCGAAACATGTGAACTTAGTTCTGGGTCGCATGTAGATTATAGACCTGTGTACCGTTTTTTCTAGATCTGGTCATTATCGAAAGAAATATTAATTTTAATTAGTGAAGGAAAAAAATCAAACTTTAACAGGGAAAAAGTTAAAAATAACAAATTGTAAAATTCGTTTAGTTATATCAAAGCTTGTTCTTTAATAACGTTATTCCAGCAAACGAGGGAAATCTACTCTTAGTAATAGATTATTATGAAAATTCTTTTAACAATTTTAATTTTTTAACATTTCCAAAAAAAATTTATATGTAATAAAAAAATGAAAATTTTACTACAGTAATTGCCAGTATAAAACCATGTACATACTTATCCATACACGGACAGTTCGTATACACATATATAAATATCCAAGTCTCTAACCTTTTGGATTGTAGCTTAATCCTATAAAGCTCTTACTTAGAGTCCGACCAATTAATCGGCCGATGCCGAGGCTATTATCGGCCAAAAGAATCGACATCGGCCGTATTTGGCCGATTCTTGGATGAGTTCAGTTATTTCGTTATTTGATAATGTTTTTCTTTTGTTATTATACAAGTTTATAAAAGCTTTTGTTCTTGAAATTAATTTATATTCAGGGTTTAATCGGCCGATGCCAATTCTTTTGGGCGATACCAGCCTCGGCATCGGCCGATTAAGCGGTCGGACTCTACTCTCACTTTTCTAATACAAAATTTTACCTACAACTCAGTTTTAATGCTTAGTTATACATATTAGCGCCAGCATTCGGTGAGTAGTCTCTAGCCAGAAACATAAACTTTGCAGTGGTGTTTCTCCTTTGTATTTGTAGTGAATTATTGCCTTTGAATTTAGTTTTATTTTAACCAGAAAACAAGTAAGAA